GCCCAAGTGGCAGTGACCCACTGAACCACCTGCCCTCCCCAGAAGGTTATTTATCTCTACTTGGTTTTTTTGTTTGTTTGTTTTTTTGTTTTTTGTTTTTTTTTTTTTTTTACAGGCAGACTGGACAGTGAAAGAGAGACAGACAGAAAGGTCTTCCTTTGCCGTTGGTTCACCCTCCAATGGCCGCCGCGGCCAGCGTGCTGTGGCCGGCGCACCGCGCTGATCCGAAGGCAGGAGCCAGGTGCTTCTCCTGGTCTCCCATGGGGTGCAGGGCCCAAGCACTTGGGCCATCCTCTACTGCACTCCCGGGCCACAGCAGAGAGCTGGCCTGGAAGAGGGGCAACCGGGACAAAAATCCGGCGCCCGGACCAGGACTAAGACCCGGTGTGCCGGCGCCGCAAGGTGGAGGATTAGCCTAGTGAGCCGTGGCGCCGGCCTCTACTTGTTGTTATGTATCTAATGTTGAAATAAAGAAAAGCTACAAGAATTTCAACACTGACTCTAGAAAAGTAGCTATCTCCTGTTATTCCATGTGATTACTTCCTCTTGCTGTATGAGTAACAAAATGAGCTACTTAAAACAGATCTGCTGCTGAGATACTGAGTGTGTTCTTTGCCAGGCTGGTTGGGGGCACTCTGCATCCATCATTGGAAGAAGTCAAGTTTCTCCCTTCCTGGAGCTTACCTTTCATAGGGAAGACAGACAAGCACCATACTTAGTAATTTACGTTGGGAAATGAAAAGGCCTGTGAAGAAGCAGTGGGGTGGGAGGCAGCGTGGAGCTCAGATGGTTTTAGAAGAATCTATTGGCAGCAGTGCCGTTGATTGACAGTAAGGGAGCTAGGGCAGAGGCAGAGCATTACCTTAATCCAGGCAAGAAGTGATGATGGTTCAGAGGAGGGGGAAGCAATGAAGATAGAGTGGGGTGGTGAAAGGCAGGTGCATTTGAAAGTCAGCACACACAGGGTTTCCGGAGAGCTTGGATATCGATGCATGAGAAAGAGAGGGGTTAAGAATGACTCCCAGGTGATTTGCATGACCTGCCTGGAAGAGATTAGAGTCACCCTCAACTGAAACAAGGAAGCAGCAGGTGGAGCTGGTTTGGAGGAAGGGAGGCACTGAAAGATAGATTGTGGAGATGTCAGGTATCTGGACGGCCGCTGTCAAACTGGAAGTCACTGGCATCTAAACGACATTCAGTGTATTTGCCTGTGGGAATGGACCAAGTTGCGCCATAGTTACACAACAGCGGTCAGGAAGAAGCTGAAAACTGTCTATCTCAGACTTGCTGATAACCCAATTCCTCTGACAAAATGAACCAAAACAGGGCGGGGCCTTGAGGCACAGCAGGTTAAGCCACCTGTTCAAGTCTCAGTTCCTCCACTTCTGATCCAGCTTCAGTGAATGCATCCTGGGAGGCAGCAGATGGTGGCCCACCTGCTTGGGCCACATGGGAGACTGGGACAGAAGACCGATCTCTCTCTCTCTCTCTCTCTCTCTCTCCCTCCCTCCCTCCCTACCTTTCAAGTAGATGAAAATAAATGATAGACATTTAAAGGAAAATAGATAACCTCTTAGTTTGCCCGCATCCCTTATTGGAGTGTTTGGTTGGAGTCCCAGCCTCCTGCGTACAGTCCCACTTCCTGCTGCTAGAAGACAGCAGATGAGGGGATACCTGGAATGAGTTCTAGCTCCTCGTTGTTACAAGCACTTGGGGAGTGAAGCAGCTGATGAAAGATCGAGCTCTTTGTCTCTGTCTCGCTGTGTGTTTTAAATAAAATGAAATTATTATTCATCATATTTGAAGTAGTAGTTATTCAATAAGTACTTCTTTTCCTTTCCTACATTTCATTGTTTAAAATGCAAGGCACTGGGGCCAGTGCTGTGGCATAGTGGGTAAAGTCACTGCCTGCAGTGCCAGCATCCCATATGGGTGACGATTTGAGTACCAGCTGCTCCTCTTCTGATCCAGCTCCCTGCTATGGCCTGGGAAAGCAGTAGAAGATGGCCCAGGTCCTTGGGCCCCTGCACCCGTCGGGGAGACCTGGAAGAAGCTCCTGGCTTCAGATTGGCCCAGCTCCAGCCATTGCAGCCATTTGGGGGAGTGAACCAGCAATGGAAGACCTCCCTCCCTCCCTCTCTCTCTCTCTCTCTTTTTCTCTCTCTTTCTCTCTGCCTTTGCCTCTCTGCAACTCTCTGCCTTTCAAATAAATAAATAAGTTTTAAAAAATACTTAGTATCAAGAACACACAAATTCTATTTCATAAAAAATATGCAGTCTTCATGCACTACTTCAGTAGTGCTGGTGTAGTGAAATGATGACTGAATTATATTTGCCTGATTCTCTAGAAAATGCCAAGTAATCGGATAAGCATTAGCCAAAATGAATATTATTAGGCTGAATACAATGATTAAAGGGAAATATTCAAAGTATGAAAACAGAAGGAAGGCTGTATTTCTTTGGGCACTCAGAAACAGCATCTGCACCAGTGGTTCTTGTACTTTGGGACACCCTGCAGTTGCCTGTGTGTCTCTTAGAACTACTGCTGTCTGGCTCCCAGACCTTCTGATTTCAGTGTGATGGAACTTGAGAATCAAGATCTTCAGAAGTTGTCCTGGTGTGTCTAATCTGCAGCAAAGTATGAGGACTGCCCAGTAGTCACAGTGTCCAGAATCCCTTCCAAAACTTGCTGGTGCCCAAAATGGAAGTAGCACTGTTACAAAAGATCCTCAAGGCAGAGAGGAGTAAGTGAGCCCTCTCTAAGTCACGCAAATAAGAAGTCACTGTCAAGGCCAGCATTGGACCTGGGTAGAGCTGCCACCTGTGACACTGGCATCCCGTAGCAGCACCACTTTAACTTCCTGCTGCTCCTCTTGTGATCCAGCTTTCTGCTAATGTGCCTGGGAAAGCAGTGGATGATGGTCCAAATTCCTGGGACCCTGCACCCATGTGGGAGACCTGGAAGAAGCCCCTGGCTGCTAGCCTGGCCCAGCCCTGGTTGTTGCGGCCATTTGGGGTAGTGAACCAGCAGATGGAGGACCTCCCCCCCCCCCCCCCCCGCCGTGTAACTCTTCAGATAAATGAAATAAATCTTTTATAAAAAAAAAAAGTCACTGTTGTTTGAGATTTGTGGTAGCTATCCAACTGGCTGTCTAGTTATAGCATAAGTGAATCCCTTACTGGAGGTGGTTGCAGTGTTATGGATGCAAATCCCAGTCCTTCCTCTTATTTATTTATTTTTTGGATAGGCAGAGTTAGACAGTTAGAGAGAGACAGAGAGAAAGGTCTTCCTTTTTCTGTTGGTTCACCCCCAAGTGACTGCCACAGCTGGCATGCTGGGGCCTGCACACTGCGCTGATCTGAAGCCAAGAGCCAAGTGCTTCCTCCTGGTCTCCCATGCTGGTGCAGGGCCCAAGGACCTGGGCCATCCTTCACTGTACTCCCAGGCCACAGGAGAGAACTGGACTGGAAGAGGAGCAACCAGGACAGAATCCAGCGCCCCAACTGGGTCTAGAACCCGGGGTGCCGGCGCTGCAGGTGAAGGATTAGCCTAGTGAGCCGTGGCGCCGGTCAGTCCTTCCTCTTATTAGCGACTTTAATAGACAATGCATTTAACCTTTGAAATTCCATCGTTTTCTCTTTGCAGGAGAGTTGTGAAAATTCTTTTTTGTTGTTTTAGGTTTTACTTATTTATTTGAAAGGCAGAGTGACAGAACAGGGGGTGGAGAGAGAGATGGGGGAAGAGAGAGAAAGAGAGAGAAGAGAGAGTGAGAGAGAGAGAGAAAGTTATTTCCTTGGTTCACTCCCCAAATACCCACAATAGCTGGACCTGGGCCAGGCTGAAGCCAGGAGTCCAGAACTCTTCTGGGTCTCCCATGTGAGTGGCAGGAACTTGGGCCATCATCTGCTGCCTCCCGTGAGCATTAGCTGGACAGAAGTACAAAGTAGCCAGGACTAGCCGGGGACTCCACCAGGCGCTCCAGTATGGGATGTAGATATTGCAAGCAGTAGCTAACCTATCCCGCCACAGCACCTGCCCCTACAGCTAATATACTTGTATGTGAGGGTAAACTATAAGGAACTATAGAAAAATATTAAAGAATTACTACTTGACAGGATTTTTCTTAACCTTAGAGGTGACTTAGTATTATACACAGGGCTGCTGTTACAGCACAGCAAGTTAAGCTACCACCTGTGATGTCTGTATCCCATATGAGTGCTAATTCAAGTCCTGGCTTCTCACTTCCAGTCCAGCTCCCTCATAATGTGCCGGGGAAAGCAGTGGAAGATGGCCCAAGTGCTTGGGCCCCTGCCACCCAGCTGCCACCCATGTGGGAGACCAGGATGGAATTCCAGGCTCCTGGCATCAGCCTGACCCAGCCCTGGTGTGTGTGTCTCTCTGTCTCTACCTCCCTCTCGGTAACTCAAAGCCTTTAAAAAAAATTGTGCAGTGTAATAATATCCTGGAAGTAAGTAGGTTATTGTTTTGTCTTTGATTTTTTTCAGTGTTAGGAATGCAGCTGTGCATACAGGAGATAATAAATGCTATTGAACTTAACATATGCAATAGAGGAAGCATTATTTCATACTTATTTTCTATATAGTGTGTTAATATGGCTAGAAATGCAAGCTGTGTTCTCAGGCCTTGGTGTCAACATAGGCTATACCCCTGATAGCAAACATGTGTCAGTGGTCATATCCTAAGACTCAGCTTTCTTCTCTGTTTTTTTATTGGGAATTATAATATCTACCTCTCATAGTGTTCTGGAGTTCACGTGTGCAGCCCACACGTAGTGCCTGACAAACAGCCTGCAGAGATATGCATTTCTTTCTTCCTCCAGGAATATAGGCATCTTGGGATAGTGGTTTTTTTCCTTAGCTAAAAATTCCTAATTCATTCTTTAATTTGCTTTGCTGATTTCTGTACCTTTCTAGCTTTAAGTGTCCCACAACCCCCATGGATACTTTTAAAACATTGTTGAATCTGTGTTCTCTTTCAGGCACTTTTTTAAACGCCATTTTAAGTTTACGCCATGGAGGAGCAGCACAGTTATGGAGAGGACCTTCTGCTTAGGGTGGGACTTAATGACAACAAAGCAGGAATGGAAGGGTTGGATAAAGAGAAAATTAACAGAATTATATTGGAAGCCACAAAGGTATGTTTCTTGTTTCTTTTCATGTCTGCAATTTAGTAGCATTTTACTTTGTTAGAAAACCATTGCTTGAAATATAAAATTATTAAAATTTTCATTTTGTCGTACACTATTACTAAACTACAAAAGTGTGGCATGGGGCCAGTGCTGTGGTATAGTTAAGCCTCCCTCTGCAGTGCCGGCATCCCTTATACACACTGGTTTGAGCCCCGGTGGCTCCACTGCTGATCCAGCTTCCTGCTACTGTGCTTGGGAAGGAAGCAAGGGATGACCCAAATGCTTGGGCCCCTGCACCCCTGTAGCAGACCTGGAAGAAGCTCTGGGCTCCTGGCTTCGGTTGGCCCAGCTCCAGCCATTATGGCTATTTGGGGAGTGAACCAGCCAGTGGAAGACTCCTCTCTGTCTCTCCCTCTCTTAGTAACTCTGCCTCTCAAATAAATAAATCTTAAAAAAAAAAAAGAAAGAAAGAAAGAAAAAAAGAGAGAGAGAGAGAGAATGGCATAACCTCCCCTCTGTGCTATTGCTCTTCCTGTCCAGATTTCTGCTTCACACACATAGGCTGTGCATGTAAAAGCGAAATGACGGGCATGGTCTGTTCTACCCCAGTGGGAGAATAATGTAGTTGTTTTCTTCTTTGGTGCTGTTGGGTTTTTTCCTCAGTGTGAGCTGGAGGTCTTTTTGTGCAAGTAATTAAAAATCTGCTTTCTGGTGGATGGTGCTGTGGCATAGAGGGTATGCAGTGCCAACATCCCATATGGGCACCGACCGGTTCAAGTCCTGGCTGCTCTACTTCTGATCCTGCTCTCTGCTCCAGCCTGGGAAAGCAGTAGAAGATGGCCCAAGTGCTTGGGCCCCTGCACCTGCGTGGGAAACCCTGAAAAAGCTCCTGGCTTCTGGTTTCCAGTAGATGGAAGTCCTCTCTCTGTCTCTCTGCCTCTGCTTCTTTGTAACTCTGCCTTTCAAATTAATTAAGTAATCTTTTTAAAAATCTGCCTTCTGGTGCTGACACTGTGGCATTAGCAGGTAAAGCCCGCTTTCTGCTTTCTTCTTTCTTCTGTAGATGTGCACATAATCTACTGAACCAGCCAGAATCTTTACTGATAGATGTTTTAAGTCCTTTCTAGTCTTCTGTTTTAAACACTGTACTGCACTGAGTAATCTTGTACTTCATAGCTTTTGTGTGTGCAGTATAGAGATTACTCAGGGCGGAGCTGCTCCACCAAGTGTGCGTGGCACAGGGGCACAGGTGTGTGTGTCGTTTTTATGAGGTGCAGGTCTGTACTCACCTCTGCAAGCTTGTACTAAGCCACATGCAGCATCACAGGAACCCCAGGACTTAGGTGCTTGTTCATAAATTCATTCCACAGGCCAGCGCCATGGCGTAACGGGTAAAGCCACTACCTGCAGTGCTGGCATCCCATAAGGGTGCTGGTTCAAGTCCCAGCTGCTCCACTTCTGATCCACCTCTCTGTTATGGCCTGGGAAAGCAGTAGAAGATGGCCCAGGTCCTTGGGCCCCTGCACCCATGTGGGAGACCTGGAAGAAGCTCCTGGCTCCTGGCTTCAGATCAGTGCAGTTCTGACCATTGTGGCCAATTGGGGAGTGAACCAGCGGATGAAAGATCTCTCTTTCTCTCTCTTTGTCTCTCTGTCTCTCTCTCTCTGTCTCTTTCTCTGCCTCTCCTTTTCTCTCTGTGTAACTCTGATTTTCAAATAAATCAATAAATCTTAAGTGAATAAATTCATTTCACAGAGAAGGAAACTGAGATGTAACAAGATTCCAGCGCTGCAGGCAGTGGGTTAACCTGGGAGCCACAACACCGGCCCCAGAGCTGAGCTAGTGTAGACCTTCTGGTTGTAGTCTGTACTCTCAGCCACCATGTTATACTCCCTACAGTGATGCTTTCCTTCACACCTTTGTCTTATACTTTGTCTTGTTTTCCTCCACAGGGATCTAGATTTTATGGAAATGAGCTCAAGAAGGAAAAGCAAGTTAACCAGCGAATTGAAAAAATGTTGCAGCAAAAAGCTCAAATAACCAACCAGCAGCTAAGGAAAGCACAGCTACAGGTATTAATTTGACTGTTGAATTAAGTGGAAGCTGATAGAACAGTAATTGACAGTTAAAATACATGGCCATCATAAGGCCAACATTGTGGCTCGGTGGGTTAAGCTGCCATTTGGGACCCCTGGATTCCATATTGCAGTGCTAGTTTGAGTCTCCACTAATCTGCCTCTTATCCAGCTTCTTGCTAATGTACCTGGGAAGGCAGCAGAAGATGGTCCAAGTTCTTGGCCCCCTGTCATCCATGTGGGAGACCCAGATGGAGTTCTGGGTGCTTGGCATCAACCTGGCCCAGCCCTGACGGATGGAAGATATCTCTCTCTCTCTCTCCCTCCCTCTCTCTCTCAGTTGCTCTGCCACATGGGTGGCAGCGACCTAAGTACTTGATCCATCACCTGCGGCTTCTTATTGTTGTGCCATAGTAGGAAACTGGAATCAGGAACTAGATTGGCATTCAAACCCAGGCATTCTGATATGGGATGGAGCATCCCAAGTTGTGTGTTAACTGCTGTGCCAAATGCCCACCCAGGTTCTTTAAGTCATATTGTCCCATCGTTTCCTGGAACTGTCCTTACCTAGACTGACAGAACTGAATTATTTCCAGTCCATGTTCCATCACTTGCTGTGGAAGAGAGGAGGAAAAGTTGGAGACAAGTAGTTTTTTTATTAAAGAAGTGACAAGGAAGTTGCTGTGCACATTACTTGAGTCCACATGGCTTTGGCAGGAGCTGGGAGCCACAGCCCCTCCTAATTGCAGCAGGCGTCGTCAGCATGTTCTCAGTGGGTGCCTTGCACTCAGCTGAAAACCTGTTATATGGAAGGAAGCAAGAATGGGTTTGGAGGTTCAGCTAGTGTTCACAACAATATCCAAGGCCCACATTTCTACATTTATAAGATCTTAGTGTTGAGGAGTTTTTTCCTTGCCATTTGTTGTAAATAGCTTTCCAATATGTTGTTTGCCTTTTAAGTTTGCAGGAATTTTTTCCTATATGATTTTAAATATTTGTATTATCCAACCCAGTAATATATAATATATATTTTAAAGATTTTATAGAGCAGTTTTGAAGTTCACAGTGAAACTGCCCACAGAGGCACAGTCTCCCCTGCTGCCACCCTCGCCCAGGAGTAGGGGTCCGTGGTTGCAGTCGATGTCCTACGCTGCCACACGTTGTCCCCAGAAGCTGACGTTTGGAGTCGGGCTCACAGCTGGTGTTGTGCATTCGTGGGATCTGGCCAGACTGCGGTGACCTACTCTGTAGTAGCCTCCAGAGTGGTTTTCACTGTCCTAAACCTCCTCTGTGCTCCACCTGTGTGCACCTCCTCAGCACCATCCCCACCTCTGGAGACCACTGGTCTTTGAACTCTTGCCATAGTTTTGCCTTTTCCAGAGTGACTTACAAATACAGTTAGAATCCTATAGCCTTTCCAGACTGACTTCTTTTGCCTAGTCGTATGCATTTAAGTGAATTTCACATCTTTTCACAACTTGATAGCTGTGAAAAAAGCTTGATAGCTTTCTTTAAAAAAAAAAAAAGATGTATTTATTTATTTGAAAATGAGAGTTATAGAGAGGCAGAGAGAGAGAGAGAGAGAGAGAGAGAGAGGTCTTTCAGCTGCTGGTCACTCCCCAAATGACCTCAGTGGCCGGAGCTGCGCCAATCCCGAGCCAGGAGCCAGGAGCTTCTTCCAGGTCTCACATGTGGGTACCGGGTCCCAAGCACTTGGGCCATCTTCCACTCCTTTCCCAGACTATAGCAAAGAGCTGGATCAGAAATGGAGCAGCCAGGACTCAAACCAGTGCCCATATGGGATGCCAGCACCACTGGTGGTGACTTTACCTGCTACACCACAGTGCTGCCCCGATAGCTCATTTCTTTTATATGCTTAATATTACGTGTTGTCTGGATGTACCGCAGTTTATTTATCCTTTCATCTGCTGAATGAAGGATGTCTTGATGCTTCTAGGTTTTGACAGTTTTGAGAAAGCTACTGTAAACATCCATATGCAGCTTTGTATGTACATGTTTTCTCTCCATGAGTAAATAGTAAGGAGTACAGTTGCCCGGCCAAATAGTGAGAATAAGTTTAGTTGTTTTTGTTTTGTTTTGTTTTGTTTTGTTTTGTTTTGTTTTTGACAGGCAGAGTTAGACAGTGAGAGAGAGACAGACAGAAAGGTCTTCCTTTTGTTGGTTCACCCCCCAAATGGCCGCTACGACCAGTGTGTTGTGGCCGGCACACTGCGCCGATCCAAAGCCAGGAGCCAAGTGATTCCTCCTGGTCTCCCATGTGGGTGCAGGGCCCAAGCACTTGGGCCATCCTCCACTGCACTCCCGGGCCACAGCAGAGAGCTGGACTGAAAGAGGAGCAACTGGGACAGAATCCAGTGCCCCGACCAGGACTAGAACCCGGGGTGCCGGCGCCATAGGCGGAGGATTAGCCTAGTGAGCCGCGGCGCCTACCCTTAGTTTTTTTTTTTAATTGCAAAACTCTCTTCCAAAGTGCTTATAGCATTTTGCATTCCCACAAGCAGTGAATGAGAATTCCTGTTGCACATCTGCAAGCACTTGGCGTTGTCACTGCCCTGGATTTTGGGTATTCTAATGGACATACAGTAGAGTGGTGTTTCACTGTGGCTTTGACTTGCATTTCCCTGGGGACACATGATCCAGTGCATCTTCAAATCATAGGCTGTATGGATTCTTTGGTGAGGTATTGGTTAATGTCTCACTCCTTTGAAAAATTAGGTTATTTTCTTTTCAATGCAGTACTCTTTTTTAAATTAATATAAATCATGTATTTCATAGATAAAATTCTTTTTTAAAAATTTATTTGTTTGAAAGGCAGAGTTATAGAGAGGCAGAGGCGGAGAGAGAGAGAGAGGTCTTCTATCCTCTGGTTCACTCCCCAAATGGCCACAACAGCCAGAGCTGGGCCAATCGAAGCCAGGAGGTTGGAGCTCCTTCCAGGTCTCCCACACGGGTGCAGAGGCCCAAGTACTTGGGTCATCTTCTGCTTTGCCAGGCACATTAACAAGAAGCTGAAGCAGAAATAGAGCAGCCGAGACTCAAACCAGCGTCCATATGGGTTGCGGGTACTGTAGGCTGCAGTTTTACCCACTACGCCACAGCACCAGCCACTCATAGACACAGTTCTAAGAGTATAATGATACTTTCCTCCCTCCCTCCACCCTTCCTTCCTTCCTTCCTATTTTTCTTTTAAGGTATTTTTTTTTTTATTTGACAGATAGAGTTAGACAGTGAGAGAGAAAGAGGGACAGAAAGGTCTTCCTTCCATTGGTTCACCCCCAAAATGGCTGCAACAGCCGGAGCTATGCCGATCCGAAGCCAGGAGCCAGGTCCCCCTCCTGGTCTCCCACGCAGGTGTAGGCACCCAAGCACTTGGGCCATTCTCCACTGCCCTCCCGGGCCACAGCGGAGAGCTGGACTGGAAGAGGAGCAGCCGGGACTAGAACCTGGCGCCCATATGGGATGGCGGAGCATTAGCCAAGTGAGTCACGGCACCAGCCAAGGTGTTTTTTTAATGATGAGGTTTTTTCTTTAATTTTTTTACTGTTGAGTTTTTAAGAGTTGCTTGCATTTTTGGGGTAACAATCTTGTATTAGATATTTGTTTTGCAAATATTTTCTCCCAGTTTGTGGCTTATCTTTTTATTCTTTGACAAGGTCCAACTTACCAATTCTTTCTGTCATGCTTGTGCCCTTAGGTGGCGTCAAGGAAGTCACTGTCAAGCCCAAAGTCATCCAGGCTTTGTCCTTTCCCATCTGCTAGGGATTTTGTATTTTTGTGTCTTAGACTTAAATCTGTGGTCCACTTTGAGTTCATTCCTGTGAAGGGTTTAAGATCTATGTCTAGATTCACTTTTTGATATGTGGATGTCCAATTTTTCTAGTACAGTTTGCTAAATGACTGTCCTTTCACCATTATATTTCTTTTGCCTTTTTGTCAAAGATGAGTTGATTCTATTTATGTGTGTCTGCTTCTGGGCTCTCTGTTCTGTTCCACTGATCTAACTGTGTGTTCTTCTGCCAGTACCACATTTTTTTTTTAATTTTTACATTTTGTTTTTAATATAAAGCGAACAGATTTAAAGTAGTTCATAGATACAATTCTAAGAATGTAATGACACTTCCCTCCCTCCCTACCCCATTTCCTCCCCCTTCTTCCTTTTTTTTCTAATTTTAGCAATAACATGCTTTTAATTTACTTTATACTCAAAGGCTCAGTCCTCCCACTAAATAAAGAATTCAACAAGTAAAAAGACCATAGTTCAGTAGGAAGATGGACAAGTTCCATAAGCACTAATCAAATCCAAAGATGTCAGTTTCACTGATATACATTAAAATTTTTTATACTCTATGTATTAGCTACCACAAAACAGAGAAAGCATATGATATATGTCTTTTTGGGTCTGGCTTATTTCACTAAGCTTAATGATCTCCAGTTGTATCCATTTTGTTGCAAAAGTCAGGATTCCATTCTTTTCTAAAGCTGAGTAATACTCCATCATGTATATATACCACATTTCGTTATCCAGTCTTCAGTTGATGGACGTTTAGGTTGCTTACTTACTTAGCTATTATGAATTGAGCTGCAGTAACTTGAGAGTTGAGGTAAGTCTTTCATAGGCTGATTTCATTTCCTTTGAGTGTATATCCCAGGGTGGGATGGCTGGCTCACATGGAAGATCTGTTTTTAGATTCCTTAGGGATCTCCGTGCTGTTCCCTAATGGTTATAGCAGTTTACGTCCCCACCAACAGCCACGCTGTCTTCATCCCTGTAACTTTATAGTAGGTCTTGTGGTTGTGCAGTGTCAGTCCTTTGTTTTGGCTCTTCTCCAATACTGTGTTGGCTTTTCTGGGTCTTTTCCCTTTCCATGTAAATTTCAGAATCAGTTTGTTGGTGTTTGTCGCTCCCCCTCTTCGTGGAGGAACGACACAGGACCCTGCGCTGTTCTTTTGTCTGCTCGGCCCTCCCTGGGTTTGCT